TCATGAGCATCAGCTAGTTCTTGAGGTCCTCATATCTATCAGGGAGCAGTGAGGGCTGACTGTTCCCTAAGGGGTGGGGGGAGCCAAGTAGGACAGCCCTGCCAGGAGGGGTTCAAATGGGGCTGGACTCAATGAAATGGGCAACCCCAAGGGTGTGGGAAAGGTCCCGGGGAGGTTGGGCAGGGCCAGTAAGGGCTGGTGGTGGTCTCATGGCCCTGAGAGCATCCCTCTACAATATTTTAGTTATTAGCATATTGTTATTATTAAAAGCTCTATGTAACTGTAAGAATGTTCTTATTGTGTTGCTTTTTGTTATCTACAGTATAATTTTTGAAATAGCATCAAAAATCATTTACTACCTCTTTTCTGAAGACCACGTTTACATAGCAGAGCAGAAATAGAAAGTTCAAGTGTTCTGTTAATGAAAAGGTGTATGTATAGTCTACTATGCTTCATATAAAATTATATCTGTGGGGTTTTTTTTAAGAAATTATTAATGAATTAGTAGCATCAAAGATATTTCTGTGTCAATGTGTCATGCATCAGATATAAAGGATTATACTTCAGTACAGACTTTAAATCAGGAGAAATTATATTTGAGGTGAAAATTTCCTACTCTGATACATGTGATTCATTAAGGATTGGGGAAAACCACAGAAAGTTGCGTTCCCCAAATAAAATCTTTTGCCTTAGATGTTTTCAGTTAAAAGGTTTAGCTTAAAAAAAAAAAAAAACAGACTTTTTCAATATATGAGATTCAGTATTTTATTTTGCACAGCCGAAAAATGTTCCCTATTAAGATAACTGAGTTCAGAAATCATTTCCAGAAAAAATAAAACTGACATAATCTCACTATCTGAAATTCTTTGTTCTTTTTGTTTTTTCATGTGTTTGCAAACCAAGCTTTTCATTGTCCTGTAAACGGGCAGTATAGCTGAAGGAAAGCAACTTTCCACTAAGGAACTAGCTTCCATTGGTATGCACGAATACTTACAAAATCATCACATGAAGAGTATGACTTGTTCCACTTAAAGATTTTTTTTTGCTGGCTTTGCAGTATATGTGAAACAATTCCTGTAAATTCTTAACAAATACAGGTAATCTCAGAGCAAATTTATATAGCACACTAACTGTTATGCTTAATTCATCACACATTCTTGCAGTTCAAGTTAGAATTATAAGGAGTGGGAAAGAAGCCATGGTTGTGTGTATGCTATGCAAAATGAAGAAACAGGAGGACAAGAATCTGAATTTCCATGCCAGAAAGGGGGAGGAAAAAGGTCAAGTCTCCAGTTACAATTTTTTTGCATGTGCTTTTTATGGAGGAAGATTTCATAATATAGATTTCAGATTGTAGTATTGGATTTTAGGAACTACTTTGCTCCAAGATCAAATAATACTGGTAATCCAAAAGCGGTCTAAGTTTTCTGTACCTTAGGAAACTCCCTGTTCAAGTGTCCCATACTACAAGTTCAGGCAGCAAGAACAGCTTCTGAACTCAGAGGACTGGGGCTGTAAGTATGGCATGGCCTTTTCCAGGGGTAGAAAGTTTGGGATGGGCAAGAGAGATCTGCCTTTTTATTTCTTTTTCTCATGCATTCAAATTAACTCAGTGTCAAGAAATAATATCAGGTGATGAAGAACTTCTTCAAGGATGTTCCTTGGAGCTGCTCATGATAACTTTTACCCTGCATGTATATGATTATACTCTAAATATGAAGCATGTCTGTTCCTGATATTCATAACACTGAGCTACAGAGATACATGGAACTCATTTTATAGCACTACATTACTTTATTACATGTAAGGGAATATGTTCTTTATGTTAATCTCTAAATGGAAGAGCTGATATACAGCTGTATAATGTCAGCAACAGAAGTAATTGATCTTTGCCCCTTTTTTGTGTGTGTGTTTTTCTTTTTTTTTGGTCAGGTATAACCTAAAACTTTTTTCATTATGTAAATATACAAAAATTATTTACTAATATAGCAATCCATTTTTTTATAATTTATCAGCTGTTGGCTGACATCAGCCTAGAAGATTATATCAAGAAAGTAACTATGCATGTTCGTAGGCTTCTCTGACTTCAGAACAAATCTTCTTTACTTCCAAATACTTCCACGGTATTTGGAGAGCTTAATCATCCAATTTTTTTTTCTATTCTTTGTGTTTATATATTCATCAAAACTTTTTTTTTAATTTCCAATTTCCAGGAAAACAGTGTGATGACATATTTCTAACTCTCTTCTGACATCTGAATGTAAAGTATTCTTTGGATCACCAAGTGTATTAAATTACAAGTTGAAGTTCACATCAAAAGAACAGTAGATCTGGTGACCCAGAGATAAAATTATCCAACATTTTTATGCTGTAGATATATGTTAATTCATATTCATATGACTGACATTCATCTCACTTTATATTCATCTTTAAGATCTATAATTCCACTGATTTCATCTGTCTTCTCCGAGTTGCTAACTCCTCTGAGTAGACTACCTTTGAATACATTGAACCTCTGTCTTTAGGCACTTCCCATGGAAAACAGAGGTGCAGGTAAACAGTGTAGACAAAATACTGGACTGCTTAAACTGATAGGAGTTTTGCCACTGGGTTTTCTTTTGTCCAGAATTTAAGTTCGCAGCTCTATACTTGACATCTAGGAACTAAGGAATATAGATTTAAGTTCTTAACTTCTTCATCCCACTTTTTATCTTTTAAATAAGACAAGGAAAGGAGAAGAAAGGAGGTTTGGCTCATCTAATCTTTCATTATCCTGTACCTGGGAATTTGATACCCAAGGTCTTCATTTACAATTAGAGCGTGAGCACAAGAAACCTGAGAGGCAGATTTTAGCCTGAGAAACTTGTTAAGTATTTTGCTAAGGTGAAAGGAAAGAAACCTTCAGATCAGACTATGAACAGTATTTGGAAGTATAAGTTACCAAACCCTTAGCTGAGCAGGCAAAAATAGGCATGGGGGTACCCTCCCTTGCTAAGGGTGAGATTATTCTAACTGAGAAGACTCTTCTCCAAATACTGACTGAGCAAAAGTGAAAAGGGCTCCTTAAAATATGCTTTGGCCATGCAGCTGTCTATCAGGACAACCTCCTTTCCCAGAGCAGCGGTTGCCTGGACTAATGATCTTCAAAGGACCATAAGGAAAGTGGAAATTAAATCAAGTGTTGAGAAAAAGGTCCTTAGCAGCTGCTTTTGTTGCCAGAAGCTCCCTTGATTGCATCACTTGTTTAGCTCAAACCAGTCACATTGAACACAATGTCTCACTGGTAATTATAGCTTTTTATCTGGAAAGATGGACAAGCCAAACAGCAACTTTCATCTGCCAGATTCTGTGATGCAGAGCTAATTGGCAGGATGTTAGAAAGGTCATAGCATGGTCCAGTGAGAGATTAAGCACACCTGAACTCTTAGAAATTAGCTCAAAATAATTTCAGACTTTCCAGGGTGCTGAGTGTCATTTAAAGTTAATAATCACAGTGAAAACAACTGGGAAGAATGTTTCTTGCAGAGGAAAGCCCTGGATTCAAAGGAAAGGAGTGTAAGGTATAGAAAATTTAAGTGCAAACCTAATGCATCATTCAAGTAAAAATAAATCTTTATATATGGCTCCTTAACTCCTTTCAAGCTTTTCTTAAAAAACTTTCAAGAATAGGAAGAACCAATATGTTAAATGACACACGCGCACACACACACACACACACACAAGAAGTCTGTCTAACCTAATATGCTCAATCCAGGAATGACCAATAATGGATGCCCAGAATCTAAGAATAAAACGAGTATATAATAATTGTCAGAAATATTTTCCTAGCCCTTAGTCGTTCCTACTTAAGACACTTCCCCAGCTGTTTCTGTGAGGTGTCGTTCTGGTGTTGGATAAGCTTACCTAAGCATGGGTAAGCGCTAACAAACTGCCAGAAGCATTAATGTACCCATGGTTTCACTGCAAGCTTCAGGGGAAGAACAGTGTGGTAGCAGGTGATTCCAGGGAGGAAAGTGCCTCTCGGCACCATCCTAATTTTCTCTCCCCTCATGCACTCACCCTCCTCCAATGAGAGCATGATCAGTAAGCTCTTTTTTTTTTTTTTTTTTTTTTTTAGGCTGGGTTTCTCTTGGCTCTCTGTTGAAGCTCTTCCCCTTTTCTGTGCATCTGTCCTTCCCCGGAGGAGTGGATCTAGCTCCTCCTTCTTCAAGAAACAAAATTTGATTCTGTCTTCATTTCTGAGATTCCTTAAGCTGGCTTTGGACACAGGATATGCCTACACATATATATGTAAAAGTTCCTCAAAAGCTTAAACTTAGTAGGATGCTGATAGCAATGTAGTCATGCTGCAAACTGACTCCAAAAATGTTGACAGGGTACTTAACATCATACAGTGTTTGTCTTTGTGCTACATCAGCTTAATCACTAATAGGACCTGTGGGGTACTATTGGTGGTGGGTCAGGGTTGTCTGTTATATGACCTCACCTTCCAGTGCTCTCTTTCTTTGCTTTTTGAGAATAATGATAGCTTCTACCTTCAGAGAAATGCGTGGCTGTGTTTGTAAGGTTTTAGTAAGTGCAATCCAAATACTATAGGTTTTACAGATTAATAGAATAATGTAGAATACTGTTGCTTAGGTAGTTAGAAAAGTATATGTTAGCAATATATGGAAAAGGCTAATGAAACAGGTTTGTGTTAAGGTTTTTTGAATTTGTGACTTTGTAATATCCTCAGGAAATAAAGTCCAATTTATAAAAATTAAGTTCCACTCTGATTTCTAAAGCAGGAATTCTATACACAAAGGTTTTAAGCTTAAAATAATATTCTTGTTATATTTTTAGATTAAAATTTCACTTGTAAAATGCTTTATGAAATTATTAAAAAAACCTATTGTATTTGACACAACTCCCCTCTCAGCATGCATGTTTATATTTAGTTCTAGCTTAATTCTACCTCAATTTTTTGTTCTCTCATTTATTGTCTTATACATGTTTCCCAGGATAGCCCACTGGTCTTACAGTCTGACAGAAATGTAACAGTGAATGCAAGAAATCACATGGGACAGTTAACTGGACAACTGACAGTAGGTGAGTGTTCTTTATTGACTGTTATGCATATCAGTTTAGCTTTATGAGTAGGTTTCATTAATTAACACTGAAGATAAAATATTGCTGAACAGTCAGAAAAAAATCTTATCACCATACTCAAACAAAAAACAATGCATACGATGGATCATAAGAGGTGATTCAGCATTAGCTGAAGGCAGAGAAAATGGAAATGCCTCAAAATAGTTAAAACATAGCTTAATGAAAAATGATTATTTTTGAGACAGCTGTAACAAAACAAAAGAATAAAAAAAAAACTTCAGCAAAACTTGTTTCAACAACAATTTCAGTGGCAAAATAACCCTCATTTTCTTACAAGTTCTCTCAGTCTTCCATTACTTCAGTGGGAATTGGTTTGTCCCCATTATTACAATATTCATTGCTTTTTAATAATATTGGCCAAAAAAATCAGTACAAAGTAATGTTCTAGATCTGTTAGAAAACAATATATATTGACTGGGAATGGGATGAAAAATATAGAAACAGATATGTGTAAGACACTAATGCACATAAAAATTTGAGGAGACACCCCTTAGACTCCATGTCTTTTCATTTTTTTCACTTTACTTCTGGATTAAGCTGTGTTTTATCCACTCTTTTTCCTCATGTGCCGAGGATATGCTCACAAATAGTTTTAAGTTAAACTCTAGTTGTAATCTACACTGAGCTTTCATACTGGCTGGAGACAGTGGCTTCACGTTGTAAAAAAATTTTGGCAAGTGCATATAGAGTGACACACCATCTGCACTGATTTCCCTGAATGACCACATCAAATGAGTGTGCAAAGGTAACCAGGCTCGCTAGCAGATACAGATGAGGAAAATTAAACTGACACCTGTTCTAACCATATTGTACTTGCATGTGTTTATGGAACGCAGCTCTGCTTCATCTAGTAGCTGTATTATTAAAACCTTCCACTTCAGCTAGTAATTGCTAAAAGGTGATATTCTGGTTGCTGACACTGTTCCTGCTAAGTGAATCCAGCACTGAAAATGTATGTGAGTGTATCGAGACTGACCTACTTAAAGGCATCACACTAGAGGTCAATATTCTAAAATATATTCTAAAAAAGGCCTGAAGAAAACACGTGTTCTTACGTTACTATCATTACAGTGAACACCTGTAAGCTTCTTGGTGTGCAGCTGGTGCAGAGTGTCTGGAGAGTGGAAGTTTGCTAAATTGCAATATTGTATTTACATTATTTCTTATTCTTTATCTTCTTCTTTTTCATAATGGCCATATGGCCTTTATTCTTTCCTGTATTCATATAAAAATTTGCTTCTTTATTTTTTAGAAATTTCTCATATGGTATTGAATACATATTAAAATATTCCTTATTTTCTTATTTATTATTTAGTATTTCTTACTCAGTATAGGTACTCATAACTACCAGTACAATCAGTAAAAGCATGAACATTCTACTGTTGGAAATCAAAGAAATTAACAGGCACATAAAAGTCAAAATGTACTATACCTGCCCTCCCTTCCAAAAATTTTGTATAAGGTAGAGCAGATAAAGACAAATTTGATTTTTGTGTAGGTAAAAGCATGGAAACATCTGCTGAGAGAAGGGAGGGGGACTTTCCTATACCAGGTTTGCTGGCATCAGGAAATATTTTTTCCTGTTAGCTGTAAATATGCTCTGGAAAGTCCCTGCCTTCTTCAAAAATATTCTTTGTCCCTTGACTGGTGCTGCATGCTGAAGCAGCTGTATGTGTGGCTGCCCGGTGAAAGGGATGAAAATAAACAATGGAGGAAGCATTGAGGAGAAATATTTTTAAACTACAGAAAAGGTAAATTATTATGACTTGGGGAAAAAATTATCTAGTTAACGACTTTGAAATGTTCTTATCTGTTAACTTCTTTAAAAAGTTGAATAATAATAAAAAAAAGACTACACATTTATGTGCACAGCAGGAGCATTCTGAAAAGAAAGAAGGATGCCCGTGCATTCAGGTGGATGATAATGCACTTCCTATACATGTGCTATCATTGACATTTTATTTGTACTTCACAGGACATAAGTGATGTTACAAGGCGATAAATAGGCTGGTCCCTTCGCTGAAATTCAAATTGCTGTCATTGGTCATGTCAAATTTTAGGACAACTAAAAGTTTTCTCTGTGATGTCTGGAATTGTGCTATGCAAGACTAAGACAGCCTTAAGAACATCTAATTAAAACTGTTAACGGAATATAGATTAGTGTAAAGAAGTGGGGGTGGGGCTCGGAGGAAGAAGACTATATGGTCACCCAGGGAGAGGGAAAAACTCCAGTGAAACTCTTGGTAACCAGTACTCAGTTCTGTGAGTGACTATGGAAGACAAAATATTTCTGCAAGTGCATTATTAAGACATCTTGGAGCACATCCTAATCTAGAAGGAGTGAAGGAAAGTATATTAAAAAAACCCAAACATATCTAAGAATATTGGATGATTCAGTGGTTACATGTTTAAGTAGTGTAAAGTCAAGTCGTGGCTCCAGGTCTTACAATACCAAGGGTGCATCTGTTATTAGAGTACAATGTATTTATACTGACACTGAAACCTGGAAGGAGAGAAAGTCACAGGTGTAGCAATGCTTTCTGTTGGCATCTATACCAACTGAGGTAGAAATGTTGTGTGCTTTGCTCTATTTGTGACATATGGTCAGGACACTGCAAAGTTTGTATCTGGATCTCCAAAAGGACTCCACAGCCTTCAGTTTTTAGACATTTAAGACCAACAGAGCAGATGTAGCACAGACATAAAGGATATCTACAGAATAAAGATGTATAGATGATCATTCATTGATTTTTGTATCTAAGCTAGATAAGGAAAAGTAATCATATCTCTCCCCTCCCAACCCTTACTTAGCAATACCCTTTGCATTATGCATTCTACTGAATTACCTTGACACAACCTTTTCTCTCTGTTTAGTCAATGTTTGCATAGTTTAAAGCTATGTGAAGAAAGATCTTCTAATTTTCTGTCAATCTTAGAAATACACAACAGTTGCTCACCTCAAGCCAGAAGTCTGTTGTCTCCACGCTGTCTGCACCGATCATATATACCCCTGCCTGTTTTTGTGGAGGACATAAGGCTGACAAGTGCTAAAAGGATCAAAATTAAATATGGCTGAAAGGAGACATTTGAAGCCCACGTGTGTGCTTACCATAACATCATCTTCAGATTTGATTATTACTTTGGTAACTTTCTCATTTTTTCATGAGGTAGTTTTGTTTTGTTTTTGGTTTTTTTTTTTTTTCCTTGCTGCAATAATATCTTCTGACAGGTATTTCTTCTATTGTTTGACCCTTTTCCATTCATGAAGATCCCTGGGGATATCTGAAACCTTTATAGAATATGATGTACACATAAAGGTGCATTTCATTTTTTGCTAAGCTTTGGATTCTTTAAAGCAGAATCATAACTCTCATAGAGGTCCAGAGCTGTACTAGTCACAACTCTAGAGAGCTCCTGAACCTGTAGCTCTGCTCATTGAGATCTCTACAGCCATGTGAACTGAGAAAAATTATTTGAATACCAATGAAAGTTATATCACACTTTTGCAATTACATTTTCAAAATAGCAGGCAGATGTATAATTTTCAATTACAGCACTGGTAAAGGCTGATAACAGTACTAAAAGATATAGCTATTCAAATAACTTGTCAAACTCGATGACGCTTTCCATCCATTTACCACAAAATTTTCTAATGTATTCAAGATTTTCTTTTTCCTTAAAAATGTACTTGCTTACTTGTTGTGTTCCACCAAGAGTACATACGGTATTGTGCAGAAATTACTGGACATTAGAAACTATAGGTATGTAACCTTGTGGGAGTGGAAATAGTCCCCTTCATCATTCTTAACTAGATCACATATGCCAATTGCCTGTGCCTATATCTACTAATACCTTACCAGGTAACACATCCTGCTGCCTCTTCACTTCCAACATGATCAAGGTAACTCGTTACCTAAAAGTTGCTTGTGATATTCCTGTTGCGAATACCTCAATTCATTGTATTGTGTAGTTTGGTCTAGACAAAAGATCTGAAGCAAGAGACAACATTTCAACGATTCTTGCTTTTAGAATTACTTGTGGTAGAACTTGTAATAATATGTGGGCACATGTAGCTCTAAAGCTTTGATATCTATTGTCAGACATTTACTTATTTAAGATTATTATGAACTTGAACTAAGTGTCTCTTAAGGCAACGGAAGTAAAAACAGGCTTAAGTAACAATGGACGAAAAATGCTTCTGTATTTTTTAATCTAGTTTGCCTACATAGTAACCTTAAATATAAGGTCTTTTCTCCTAAGTGTTGCAGTAAGAGGGTAGTTTCAGAGCGGTCATACACATATACCCTTTCCTCACAGTAGGAAAAGGGAACAAAAGGGCTCAACTTCTCTCTCTCTTATCTGTATGGTTGTTCTTGTATTGTCAATAGTAGGGTGCTGGGGAGAGAAGGGATGGTGTTGTTTTACAATCCCCCATTAGCTGCTTCTACCCTTCAACTGGGCAAATATGGATTAGAACTTAATTGTCAGGAAAATATAAAATAAATCCTTTCTCCTTTCCCTTACAGGGAGGTTTGCCTACCAGTAGTCCCAAACTGAAATTTCAAAAATCTAAAATATATCAAACATTCTGCTAGTCTAATTTTCATATTAAAGCAATTCCTCTTGTAAGCACTGTGGTGCAGTAGGATTATGCACCACAGGAGGAGGGATTATGCACCTCAGGGGAGGTTTAGATTGGATGTGAGGAAAAATTTCTTTACTGAAAGAGTAGTTAAACATTGGAACAGGCTGCCCAGGGAAGTGGTTGAGTCACCATCCCTGGAAGTATTTAAAAGACAGGTAGATGAGGCGCTTAGGGACATGGTTTAGTGAGCATGGTGGTGTTGGGTTGACGGTTGGACTCGATGATCTTGGAGGTCTCTTCCAACCTTAATGATTCTATGATTCTATGAATATTGTTAAGAAGACATGTTGCAAAA